GGGGTTGCAAGACGAGTACATGCTTGCATTTTATTTCACGAAACCATGACAGTGGATGGTATGATAAACAACGACTTATGGGCCATGCCTGCGACGGTATGTAAATAATTATTTTGATTGACCCGATGGTCCGAAGGCAAGCGGACCATACCAGAAGTGTAGTTACCGTGTCAATAACTGACACGAGAATGGCGGACCATTCAAGAATGATGTTGGAGCGCCACGCTGTGGCGAAAAGGAAAATGGCAGCAGCTGCTGCAGAGCCGCCCATGCACTTTGGTTGACGTGTGGCTTCGCGACGTGTGAACGGATGTCCCTCGAAAGATTTAGACCAAGTGGTCCAACTTGTTCTAACCGCCCACCCCCAACACCCCCCAAATTGTGCTCTGTAAAGCCACAACTACATCGCCCAGTAACTACAGCCTGAGAAAATGTGGTGGTGCCCCGCGGCCATTCGAGTAGTTTGTCCGGCTGAATGTCACCGCTCCTCTGCAGGATGAGGAAGCAGAAGTGCCGGTCAGGATGTGACTCGATCCTTATCCCCCTGTCACGCACTGTCATAACATTCTTGATTTCTCTTGGCGCCGTCTACCTTCCTGATTTCAAGCGGCATTGCTTCGATTCCCTACATCTGCTGAATTTGACCTACTTCTCATCCGGATTTTCCCTCTTGAGCAATGGCAAAGAATTACACTTCATCCCTTTATCTCCACCCGCCCTCCGCCATCCTGTGCTTCATGTCCACTCCTCTTCGTTCCACGTGCGGGGCAGATGGCGCTGCACTTGCTTATCAGCTGCTGCTATTTGCAGCAATGCCCGAGGCTGTAACCGTGACAGCTTGTGTGTATGCTGACCGCTGCTCAATGGGCCAAAACAGTGAACACGTCATGTCTGGGCAGAAGGATGCTAACTGGATGGCAGACTGCACAGAACAGATGACTGAGTGGCTTGCTCAAACAACCATGTTTGCCCCACTGACACATATCGGACGAGCGGAGGTTCGGCGCTTTCTGATAATACGAAGCTGCACGATGCTGGTGCTTCCCTGCTTGAATGCAACAATGCCTTTGTTGATTGTTTGAATGTAAAACTGCTCTTTAAAAAATGAGTACGTAATCCATAAACGTTGGGTCAAATTAACCCAAGTGGCATTTGGTCCCTAGAGCGTACACTTTTCCGGCTGATGCAATAATGAAACTAAAAATGATGTGTAGGTATATTGAAATGCACAGTAAATAGCACGAATGAGAAGCAGTCGCTCTCCTGATCTCTTCTTCCCGACAGGAAACTCAAGAGAGCCGAGCGCACGTGCTCGGCCCGTCCTTAACCACGCCCCGCCGGCGACGTCACCGCGTCCGAGTCTCCGCGGTGCTCTGCGGCGAGAGGACGGCGCCGCACTGCTCACTCAACGAGCGCGCGACGGGGCGAGGCGACGGTGCCCGTGTGGCCCTCATCCGTCACCGCGATGGGACCGAGCACCGCGTTCTTTGTGAGACAAGCCCTCATCCCCGACTCCCTTCAGCCGCTCCATCCGGGGACCCGGACTAGAAAACACCGCAGCTGAGCGGCTCTCCTCCTCCACTGAGGAGAAGGATGACGAGCGGAGACACCCAGAGATGAGAAGTGTTGATCTTGTCAGCTTGGGCAAGGACGTTTGCTTGAGCCTCATCTGAGTCCCGCACATCTACACCATGTCCGCCATGTACATTTCTGCAGTGGTGAGTGCATTCATTTGATTCTTTACCGTCTCGTTGCATATTCTCAGGATTCCTTCAACAGATTCTCATTTTAAAGGGCCAGTGCCTATTTTGTCTTCCCACATCCGTTTCCAGTCTATTCCAGACCGAGCTTCAGGGGCAGTGTTCCTACATGTTCACAATTTTCAATCACAATGACCATTTATCCGACGCCCCCCGCCCCCCCTTGCCCCCCACATTATTAACATCTCATCAGTATCCAGTTATTCCACTGTGGGCGAAGCCATACAAAGGCTGTAACAGTGCTGTGCTTGTTTGCCACATTGCACTTGTGTTGACCAAATTACTGGAAATATCAGTCGAGTCTTTCTCAACTCATCGCTTATCACCACAAAGACATGGTCTGAATACTTTTTGGAGAGCCAAAAGTCTCTTAAGAACCCAAACTTTTTTTTTTTGCACCACTGTTGGTTGCACCCCACTGAAATGAATTGAATTGACTTTAATCGTTCCAGTCCCCCCACAAAAAAAAAAAACGTGAATGTTGTTGTTTTTTAATGAGGAAAAATAGCATTCAATATATTGTACTTGATCAAAACAGGCAATTGCCATAAAATAGAATGTAAAGCATGAAACAGGTTGTGCATCATGAATTAATGCTGTAATTCAATTCAGTGCGCTGATCCTTCTGTTATGCCTGCCTTGGAGACTGGTAGGCAGTACTGTGTCAGTCAGTCAGTGAGTGAGTGAGTGAGTGGGTCGGTCGCTCGGTCAGTCAGTAAAGTAAGTTCGTAAGTATGTAAGTGTTCTATTTTTACGCACTGATACCAAGCGCTTCACAACCACAAGCAAAAATTGGATAAATACCATTATTAGTAAAGCAAATAACAGCTACATTTATCTTTACGCTCTACTACAAAATTGCAGTTCACAACCAATATTTATCAACATAGAAATTTTAAATAAACCATATCGTACCCACCAGAGATGCTAATGCAGAGGCCAGCACCCGAGATTGTGAAGGTGTTGGGAAAAGATTAATATGTGCATGGCAACACATCGAAGCTGGAATCTGATTGGACAAAAACAACAAAACAACAAACAACTGGACACGCGGTCTGAAATGAAGACCAACCGTTGGAAATAAATTCTTAGCATTTCTTGTAAATTGTAAACGTCAGTCGGTTTTCTTTATCCGACTGTGTCTTCCCACAAGTTCGAAAGCAGTCAGCTTAGCGATGCGCGGCAAAGAGGATGTGTTCAAACCACAAGCTTGCGTCAAGTCACTGGCACGACGGATGAGCGCTTAGCAGCTGCAGTGTGACACATCCACACACACAAAAAAAAAAATCAATTAGCTTTTGTCAGCGATAAATTCACAGTGAGCCAATCCAAACAGTTCCCTTCCTTGTCTGAGCTGAAATGTGCCGCGACCACGGTGCGAGGATGGCATGCGGCGCCACAAAACAACAGGTGCTTCTTAGGGTGAACATTAGGGGGGAGGGGTTTAGTCAGCTCGGAGGAAGGCAAGGGGCCCACGTGCATGCCCCTATCCCGAACATGTGTGCGCGTTAAGCCCTTCTTTAATTAGATAGCGATTGCCGCCGAATGTTGTTCTGCCACCCGCACGCAAACATGTATGCGCGCGCCTCTTCATATCAACCGAAAGCAAATTGTTTTCACTCAGCACCCACCCTGAGCAACCACTTGAAAACATTTAAGACTCCAAATGCTGAGCTTCATGAACGCCTCTCAGGGACTACTGGATCAGGGAGGAAGCTGTTGTTTGTCGTTCGGATTTGGCCGAGGAGAAGCGTTTTGGATGGCGGTTGGATGGATGGATGGGTGGACTAATATGTGGCTTTCTGGGTGGGCCGAGCTGGCGCGTGTGCCTTCTGGCCGGCGACCACGTCGGACTAGCCTGAGAGGGAGCGTGCCCTGAGTGGATTAATGCGCTGTGCTCCATTCCTGTAAAACAACCGCTGTGTCAGCTGCGTCTGCGGTGTGGGTGAAAGAGATTTCCTGTTGGATACCCGCACAATCTTCTGTTCTCCGGCCTCATAGGAACATTAAAGGCAAGCTAGGACGTGCTGTTTCGATAATAATCTGACAGGACCAAAAAAAAAAAAAAAACAGTGGGACGATATCTGTTTTTTTTTTCTTCATTCGGGCCCCCCTGGTGTTTCTGGTGTACCTTTCTTGAGAGGGCAATGTTTTCCATTTCAAACAAAATGTTTTCAACAAATGTATTTTATTTCTCACCCCCTAAGTTTGAATCTTGCCGTGTCTTCTTCAGGTCCTGTGGACATTGGCGGTGGAAATCTCAGCGCGGGTTTTGAACACAACTCACCCGGCTGACCTGCCCTTCCTCTCCCCCCGCCATTATCAATACAAAGACCCCGAGTCTGGCTCCCGGTTGGTCTGCGACAAGTGCCCGGCCGGCACCTACGTGTCTGCGCACTGTTCCTTAACCGCTGTTAGGGAGTGCAGCCCCTGCCCCGAAGGTACTTTCACGCGAGGCGAAAACGGCGTGGCGCAATGCCATCGCTGTCGAGCTCCGTGTCCCGCGGGCCTGATGGAGAAAGTCCCCTGCACTAGCTCCCAGGACCGCGTGTGCACCTGCCCTCCAAACAGCTTCCTGTTAGCGGAAGGTAGCACCAAGTGTCAGCCCCATTCTCTGTGCCCTCCCGGGACGAGGGTGAAAAAGCGGGGTAGCGAAACAGAAGATGTTATTTGTAAGGCGTGCACCAAAGGAACTTTCTCCGACGCGGAGTCGAATGCGCTCAAGTGCCGAGCCCACGCGGACTGCCGAGCTCAGGGGTTGACGCTGCTCATCGTGGGGACGAGAAAGACCGATAATCTGTGTGGAGCGCTGCCGACAGCCCCCTCACCTGCATCCAACTCCGCGACCGCTGCACGAAGACAGGACCCGGCGACATCGGAATCTTCCTCGTCGCCATTAGGTCGTGAAGGTGAGAGCTTGTTGAGTGTCAACGGCGTTTACGAAACCCCATTCAACCAAGACCCTTCTCGAAAGAAAGCACATTCTCTCTCTATGGACAGAATTTTTTGGTGCAGAAGAGCCCTTGAGGGGGTCCGGTTTGGTGGCCTTGGTGTTGCATCTCTGCTTTTTGCAGATGATGTGATGCTGTCGGTTTCGTCAAGCCGCGATCTCCAAGTCTCACTGGAGCAGTTGGCAGCCGAGTGTCAAGCGGTTGGGATAAAAATTAGCACCTGCAAATCTGGACTTCCCCGCTAAAGCTGTTGCCCCTGCGACCCGGCCCCGGAAAAAGCGGTAGAGAATGGATGGGGGGGGGGGGCTTGGCAACAAAGTGGTGGCTTCAACTTGCTCCAGGAATGCAACTATTTACGGTCATGAGGGGGTCAACTTGCCGTTCTTCCTCGCTGCTCCTCACCTCGGTGATGTGTCGGATCAGGAAACACGAGTAATTCGCTGGCCCTTTTTGTTTTTGCTGCCTTTCACCCTCCTCCTCATCTCTTCTGTTGAAGTCGGCGGGTCATTTCTGAGAATCAACCTGACGTACTGTACTTGCTCTCACTCCAGCGCTCACGCGCCTTTAATCTCGTCACTACTTTTTGTGTTCTTTGTCATGGGGTCGTGCCCCCTGACGCAGTCGGTGCCACAGTCTGGCCCACTAAATAATCGGGGCCAGGTCGAGCCAGAGCCAAGGGTGCACCACGCCTCTCGCCCAATGTGAGACGGGATCGGCTCCGGTTCACCCGCGACTCTTAATGAACGCTCGCGGCGCACAAAAATGGCTGCGTCGATTCAAGGAGCCTCCCGTTCCATTTTGCCGGTTCCATTAGCCAGGCTTGAGAATGTCAACTGCATTGCTGATTTCCTTTCTTTCTTGACTTGTGCCTTTTGTTCTCCCTCATCCCTCCCCCACTTGACTTTCATCCCCGCGTCTCCACCTTAGGCATCAACGGCCGTTCGGCTGCTATTCAACTGAGGGAAACTCAAGACGGGAAACTCGGGGCTGAAATTCGCACTCGTGCGCCGAGCGCCGATCCGGCCATCCGTGACCGCTCTCGGGCTTCGCCGCCCGCAGTCACCAAACAGCTGCCGCGTCGCGAGCAATCGTGGGATGAAGCGAATTCTTACCCTCTGCGTGTCCCTAATAAGCGGACAATAGAGGGACTCGAGGGGTCAGAGGTCGGCGTTGGGATGGGAATCGGGAAGATTCCCGTGCAGCCGAACCGAGACCGAGTTTACAATCCTAACCGACCCATTCGACGAGGATCCCCGCGGCCCAGCGCTCCCGATCGCTTCGATATCAACGAACACCTCCCCTGGATGATCGTCCTGCTGCTCCTGCTTGCGCTGGTGGTGATTGTGATGTGCAGTGTGAAACGGAGTTCCCGCGTACTGAAGAAAGGCCCCGCGCAGGACCCGAGCAGTATCGTGGAAAGGGCAATTCAGAAGAAACCGCCGCTGCCCCCCGCGCACGTCAAAGAGAAGTGGATCTATTACTCCAACGGACAAGGTGAGGCCGCCGCTGCAATTACTCGTTACGCAATCGTCTTTCATGACCCCGCCCGAAGGATGCATACCATTATCGGCGTTTCCCCTCAGCTTCCTTCCCCCCCCCCCCGTTAACGTTCTGTAAAACAATTTTGGGTTGTATATTCGGAAGTAGTTCCAGCCGTTTTATGTATCATCGCAGGAAGTGTGCGGGCGCCAAATGAAACGACAAGATGAGCCCCCCCTTTCGGTGTTGGAGACTCGCTGATGCGAACCGAGCTTATTTTTCCACACCGAACACCCGATAGTCTGGAAGCGAACAATATTGCTGTTGTGCTGTCGAGAGGTCTCGGTAACGCTTGGAGTTACATAGAAGCACTCAGTCGGGGTGAGCTGATCAATGCTGCTCGAGGCTGATGTGGCGGAGGCCAACGGCGACACGAGAAGGGCCCCTTCCAGAAGAACACGTCGCCGCTTTCATCAGAGGCGGGCGTACACGACTCCAATTTCACCAAACCATAGCTCTCCTTTCTAAAGTGTCCCGCTTTCACCCCGAACCCGCTTTCTGTATTTATCTTCTCCGCTTTCTTCTCAGCACGACGTCCATATCGTGCTTTGCATTTGCCGCGGTGCCCGATGACTCGGACTCGGCTTCTCTTTTTCTCCGTCTCGATCGCGTCATTATCTGTTGACACGACGGCAAGACTCAACAGGCGGAGAGCTCCGTTTCACACGGAGAGAAGGAAAGAGACACCGAACTTGAAAACGGAGGTTGTGTGCGCGGCGCACTCGACGAGAAAGAGCCACCCTGCCTGGCTCTGCTCAGTGACTGACTGGAAAAATCTGGTTTCAGCTGCATTGAGTTTGGCTGTTTTTGTACACGCGCAGGTCAGACCGTTCCCTCGACGGAGAGACAAAGCGATGCGCAGCCTTGATAAGAGGAAGATAAAAAGACAAACGTTAAGACTTGCGAGTGTATTCAGGAAGCCGGTGGGGAGGAAGCGAGCATATGCGTCGTCGTCGATCCTCTCCGGTCAACATTGTCCAGGTCGGGCGGCGGACTCGCGGGGGGGGGGGGGGGGGGTCACCTCCTCATTTGGTGTTTTGTGGCTCCACAGAACAGAAAGAGTTGAGGGAAACTCAACCGTTTGACACTTTGAAGTCATCCCCAGGAGTCGAAAGCACTCTGCCAACATTTTCGGCCCTCCCGTCATGCCCTCCTGGAAAGATTCTTCCAGGAGGGCCTTCCTGGAACTCTTCTGACACACCTCGTACGTGAAGTCAAAGCGATTCATTTCAGTGATAAACTCACCGAGAACTGTTGAAGCATTGTTCAACATGCCTCGCAATTAAGACCCAAATGCTTTCTTTCAAGGGTGATTTTCCGCGGTGGTCCGTTGCTCGCATGGGTGTTTTTCTGATGGCGTGACTAATCTGGTGCCCATGTGTATGTATTTAACGTATGCACTTGAAGAACAACACGACGCGCATTTTACGCTGCTGTGTACCTTGTGGAACAATCGAGAAAAGCGCGTCGTAATCCTTTCAAGGTGCACGCTTGGCTCCCCTTGAAGGTTGTAATGCCCATTTTACTAGAGTCGTTAAAACAGTGAGACAATAAACCGAGAATGAAAAGAAAAGGTGCGAGATCTCCCATGTACTCAGTTTGTCATTTTGTTGAGAGACAACCGGAATCGTGAGTCACGAGGTCGAGTATTGTCAGAATCTGCTCTCGTATGTTGTCCCCATTTCAAGTTCAAGTTAACGTGTCGCATCCCCGACGATGCAAGGACAGCGGAACCGATTGTCAAATGGTTCGCCGCCTTTGCCGCTGTACGTCAGCGCCGCGTCCGTCTTGCATCAAGCTGTTAAGCAATTCATGCCTGTGATGTCATCGATGCGCGTTGGAAAAACGAGGGCCATTAAAAAAAGAAAAAAAAAACATTGCGATACTGGGAAAGAACCTCACAAGTAGCAGTTTGCGCTCCGTGGGAAGTCATTTAATTTGCAACATATATTTCCGAAGCAAGTTGGGAGAATGTTGTGGAAAAACATGAAGGAAAACAAGATGAGACCTGCCCAGCGTCGTCCCTTGTTAAATATCCGCTCCGTTAATCATGCCAAGTTGCACATTCTGACCCCGGTGGGGAGCCGCGCGTTCGAATCGACTGTGTGCCGCGATACCAGGGTGGGCTTAGGGAGCCCGTTCTCAGATCAGCCTGCGTTTGATCGTCGAGGGAAGGCTCCTGACGTGCGCGGCTCTCTGCCGGACATCATGTAGCACGTCGTTAATGAGACAATAAAATGTCATTCGCGTTTCTCGGCTCTCGTGCTCGAGTCGGGCTCGTGCGGGATATTCTTCACACCTTGAACAGAAAGCTGATGAACGGGATAACGCAAACAAGAAATAATTGCTTTCGTTGGCCGACTTTAGCGTGTTTCAAAAAAGCGGCCGCCTTTTCATCCTTCCACTTTTTCTGTCTGCGGCCCTCGACCGAAAAAGTCTGGACGCCCTCGTGCTCAAGGATTTCAAAAGTGAGGGGCCGTGCGCTTTTAATGGGCTTCCCTAGGAAAGCAAATCATGTCACCAGCGGTTTGCGGCACAAAGGAGATGACTCACTGTCCCCACACAATGAGTTTGTCGGCTCGGCGTCGGACTCGAGCGTCGCTCGTCATCGCGACAAATGCGAAGAAAATGGCCGTCTCAATATGTGCTGTTAGCCTTCTGCAAATTGATGGAGGGTGTACTTCCTCACGCAAAGACGTCAGCACATCTGCCGGCCGGCGCGCTGAATCATCACGAGACTTTTCTAGGCCATCCAAGTGTGTCCAGCGAACAGGGACAGTGCGGCATTCGGAGCCAGGGGATTTCTCCGCTGTCACTGTCGGTTATCGCCAACCGGGCGGCAGCCATTTGACCCACAAGGCCGGCGCACGCGAGGTCCTGCGGCTCCGCGTGCCGCTCGAGTTTATTCATTTTCAGCCCCCCGCGATGATAGGATGTTTGCGTGTTTCGGTGCGTGTGTCTGGCCGGATCCAAAACAAGGTCAAAAAGTTTGGCTGATGAGCATTTGAGGGTAAAACGAGTGGAACAGCAGCGATGTTGAAGCCCATGTTATAAGCGACACGCAACATGTCGCTGCGGGGACGCATGTGCGCTCGCCTCACATGTCTCATTGTCTTGGCCTCTGCGACGTTGATGGATTCAGACTCCGTTTTTAGTGAGTGTTTGTGTCCGCGTGTGCGTGTGACATATATCCCCCGGCGACGGTTTATCCATTTAATCTCTCACAATCATCCTGGATTTGCGCATTTCGCGTGTTTGCCACTGCGGACATCAATTAGGGATCAACCTGAAGCTTATCAAAGTGGATGAACAATTTCATGTGTGTGTGTGCACTTTGAAGTCAAACGCACCGGACAGTAAAACAAAGAATTTCGCCGTCCGGCGCATTTCGGTTATTGAAAGATCGAAACGCGTATTGATGAACTATTAAGTTTGAATATGTCAAAGCGAGGTGTGGCGTTACGACGGCTACTATGGATGAACGTATTTTCCGGACTATAAGTCGCACTTTATTTCATCGATTCATGGCAAAACGATCTTGAAGCGGATCTACGTCACGTCTTTGCGTGTGTCCAGACAGACGGCAAATCGACGTGTTTCCCTTTGTCTTAGGAGTGGACATTCTAAAAGCGGTTGCGGCTCAGGTGGGCCCCCAGTGGGTTGACCTTTATCAGTCGCTGGCCAACGCCACCGAGCGGGAAGTGGCGGCCTTCTGCAGCGGCTACTCGTCGGATCGCGAGCGGGCGTACGCCGCGCTGCAGCACTGGACCATTCGGGACCGGGACGCCAATCTGGCCAAGCTGATCAACGCCTTGCACCGTCAGCGCCGCATTGACGTGGTGGAGAAGATCAGACTGGTCATGGAGGACGACCCGCAGGTAGGAGAAAAAGGCCGCAAAATTCCTGCCCCCCCGGAGCTTTTATAAAACGTGCCGCTCTCTCTGTTGTGTTGCTGCACCTGCTTTCCCAAAATGCTCTACTTTGCTCTGCTTCTGTGTTGACCGCTAATTGCGTCGTGCGGGTTTTTTACAGTTAGAAACACAGCAGACGCTCTGGTGTGACGGAGATCGCTTATTCTGTCAAAGCTGCGCCGCGCCACTGGGACGCAGTCATCACTGAATGGAAGAGAACCGAAGGAAATCCGAGCAGTGCTTACAATTTCAGTCTGGGGAAGAACAAGAGCTTCTCTCATGAGCTCATCTCCAAACCAGTCCTTACTGGTTGGAACAGATTGTTCATTACGGCTCCAGAGAGACGGAGGGGAGGGGAGGGGAGTGGGGGGGTGGGGGGCTTTGCACAGATACGAGCACCAGAGGACAATAAGAAGGTGCATCATGAAAGAAACACGGCGGTCACAACTTGAGTCAAAAGATGTGCTTTCATAACTAAAAAGAAAAACTCATCTTTGACACTGTATGTACCTTTTAATGAACATTCTTACTTGACAACTGCTTTCCTCTTAGGCAGTTAGCGAAAGTAAAGCCTCTCCTTCTTCGAGAGCACTTTGATTCATGCCTTTGTCACATCCTGGTTGCATGACCGTCATCATGCACTTGACTTTGGAGTCAGACAATCCTCCATTCAGCGTCTCCAGTTGGTCCAAAATGCTGCTATCCGTTTCTTGACCGGTACTCGTAAGAGGGAGGGGATGGAGCCTTTTCCGAAGGCCGCTCCCTCTCTTTGCAAAGGACGTTGGGCAAGCCCCCTTCAAACTCCTTTTGATTCTTTGGCTTTTGACTCCACAAACAATGCGCCTTTCCCCAGTTTGACATCAACCAGCTGATGACGTCGGTGAATGTAAGCCAAAGCCTCAGTCCCATTCACAAGCCTCCGGAGTCTCCCAGCAGCAGCGGCGGCAGCGCCGCGGGCTCCGAGCAGTCGCCGGTGGACCGGACCAAGAGCTTCTTCCACGATGAGTCGGAACCGCTGCTCCGTTGCGACTCCACCTCCAGCAAAGACTCGGCTCTTAGTAGGAACGGCTCGTTCATCACGAAAGGTGAATGGGCAGCAGCTCTCTTCTTCAACCTCACCCACCGAGCGGGGGATATTTCTTCAATTTTACAGTTCTTCCATCCAATGTTGTTCATTTGTTCTGCATTTAACTTTTTAAATCGTGGATGGATTCATTTATTGTCAATTTTCAATGGAAAAAAAATCAGTAAAGTAAAATATTACATCCATACATAATGCGGTTTAACGACATGTCTGGTTAATTAGAAGTGAGAGCTCGAAAGGGCTCCAGTTTCCCTGGCTGTGACCCTCAATGAGGACAAGCCTGATAGAAAATAAATGGATGATGATCGCCCTCTTGTGGTCGCCATTAGTTTTGTACTTTGCCAACTGCTCGGTGGTCAACACGCCGGTTTTGCTCGCCCCGCATTTTCTCAGTGTTGTGATTCAGAACTGGAAAAAAATAAGAAACAAGAGAATAGAAACTGACTCAATTATTTTAGTGAGAGTATTTAAATTGTGAATTCACGGTCAAACTCCAAATTGTCTGTGAACGTGTATTCATGGCTTCTCTGTTTATTCGCGGTGCAAGGAGCATCCAGTGAGAAGTCACTGTTTCCATTTTGTTCCCCTTTTCCGTCATCCCCGCAGAGAAGAAAGACACGGTGCTGCGGCAAGTCCGCCTCGACCCGTGTGACCTGCAACCCATCTTTGACGACATGCTGCACATCCTGAACCCCGAGGAGCTGCGCGTCATCGAGGAGATCCCCGCCGCCGAGGACAAGTTGGACCGGCTTTTTGAGATCGCCGGAGTCAAAAGTCAGGAGGCCAGCCAGACGCTGTTGGACTCGGTCTACGGCCACCTCCCCGACCTTTTGTAGGAAAAGAAGACGCGCGGGAGGAGACGAGAAGGTCTTCGCATTTCACTCAAGAAAATCCGGTACCGTTCAAATTGAGCACAATTGTGACCCGTCGTTAACTTTATGCACGTGGTTGTAAATGAGTCCGTTATCTCGGCTCAGTCATTTTCACCTTTCCTCTTCCTCCTATTCTCTATTGTGTCTTCTCTGTCATTCCTTCATCCACCCTGACACGGGAGGGGGAAGCAAAGTCCGTACTTGGTGTCTCCCAACCAAATGCATTCGATAAGGTCTGAGTTTTATAACGAAACGAAACTTGTTGAACGAGCCGTTGCTCCATGAAAAGCATCCATCTCCAAGTTTTGTTTCAAATTCATGCTTTGGTGATTGATTCCATATTGGTTTGTCATTTGGAGGTCCATGTTTTTCATTGTAACGGGGCAATGTGTTGGATTTTATCGCATCATGAAATGTGCACCCCTTTGTGGATCGGACCGGATTCCCTGGCTTCTGGTCTGACAACAAAATCCCATAAACTGGAAAAAAAATTGCTTTAACTTTAAACAAGTCAGTAAACCGGTATTGTTCTTGTTCTTTTTTTTTTTAAAAAAGACTCTTCAATAATGAAACAAATAGTACACCCATTTATCGACATATTATCCAAGATGTGGCTTTAGCCCTCAGCATATGTGCCTGAACTTGCGCCGATCTCCATCTCCATTGTTTTTTTTTTTTTTACAGCCATTGTGTGTTTTCCCCCCTGCTCGGCATGACACAATTACGTGCTGGAATACAAGATATGCATACGCCACATTCTACTTGAAATATGTCTACGTATGACTTTTGATTCCAAAGAAAGACAGAACGGACTCTGGTTTTCTTTCCATGTACTCTAAAATGAACTGAAAAGTAAACGGAAAAAAACGCGACAGCAGCAGCGACGTTGGTCCTCGGCATGACTCCCCCCGGTAGCAAAGATTTCAAGATCTGTTGCTGTGAACTTGACCGAGGGACAAAGAGGACCGTGAGGATGCCTTGACTCAGACTTCGTGGTGCGTGGGTCACCCCCCACGCTGATGTGTGAAAAGATGAAGGTGACGGGGCGGTGAGTGGATGATTTCACTATTCCCAAGTGGAGCCACTGCTTAAAATCGAACAATAAAAGCTCAATATTTCTCACAACGTTGGGAGTGGTGGTTACTCATGTCGCAGTCCTGAAGGAAAAGGTGATTTTTCTCCACTTTGCGCGTGGTGTAACGAGGCCAGAAGAGTTTGAAGACCCGAATTCATCTATAAACGGGGGTGCCCACCCGAAGATCGACTTTTCAAGCGACCACGATGGCGAATTGCAGATGAAACAAACGTTGAATGAGAAGAACCGCATCTGAAAGGTGACCTGCTTTTTTTAATTTGATTTCTTTGAAATATTTTTTTTGGGTGAAAGTGAAACCGATAGGAAGCTCAGGGTGCAGTGTGCATGACCACAAAAATGTATTAATAACACACACACACAAACACAAATCTTTTTTTTTTCCAATTTCCGTCTCGAGGTCTCGCCGTCAACATTTGACGCACAATCTTCAAGCTTGTTCTGTCCTTGTCTCGCATGATGCCAACTTCTTTTTGTTCCCGTCTCAAAGGCCCCCGGTGAACAGAAGGCTCTGGTTACGCTCGTGAACAAGCCAACAATAAGGTCACGCACACCGTTGCCGCTGTGTCGCCACAAAGGTGCCTCTGATCCCCACCTCCAGACAAAAGACGTTTGTAAATCCGCAGAACAGAAAAGTATTGAGAGAAGGGAGCGGCCTTTCGTAACCCGTGACGTGGCGGCCATGTTGGAAAAATAAAATACAGTAAGTACACTTTAGTCATATTGTCGACGCTGTCGTCTGTGTTAAGCTTGCATAAGGGGTAGTGGCGCAGATCCCGCTGAGATGTATTTTTTGTCCTTGAATTTTTTTCACTTTATTTAATAATCAATTGGGATTTCCGGTGCTTGCAAGCTCTCCAAGGACACAGCCTCACTCGTGCCGGAAGATAAACACTTTGGTCATCCCAATGGGGATATTAAGCCTTATTACCGGTCGTCTAATTTCATCCATCCATCCATTTTCGAATCCGCGTATTCTCACGGGCGTGCCGCAACCTATGAAAGTGGTAAACAAGAAGCAAAAATTGATGTTTTCATATCTGCTCGCCGTCATTGTTGAGCTGAAGCCCCTCCCGGTTGGCTTTGGCCAATGGCACACCCTGGACCTGTTCCCCGCAAGGCAAATGCTGCATAGACAGACATTTTTCTGGATTTTGTATGAGTATCATATTCATCAATTGACTCAAAATACAGAATTTATTTTGGTATTCAGAGTCATCTGTGCTCCTCCCAGTCGCATCGACATTTTCCGAGCCACATCAAATGGCAACAGACATATCTCCATCGCAAATTCCAAACCAGACCCGCCAAGCCTGTCTGGGCAGTCTCGGAATCAAACAAATGAAATCGGCCAATCCATAAAAGGGCTTCTCTGATAAGTCGCACCATAAAGGAGCAACGATGTGATATTCTTCATTGTTCAGCAGTGATCCTGTTGTGCAAGAAGACCCGGTCCCGTATCGCCGTGATACTCATTATAATACCACTATTATATGTTTACACATCAAACATTTGCCCTCTGGGAATTTTAGTGTGAAATCAGCACAGCAGACTGATGTCTAGTCTCTCTCAATGTTCAGTAACGTCGACGCGAGTAAACCTTCCTGATCCCTCGCTTCCTCAGCATCACTATTTTGCCGCAGGTTATTCATTCCCGAGAGGTAATTAGAACCGTTGTTTGGGTGTCGTCGTTTGGATTTCATTTCATCTTTTCCCTGTCGCGAGTATCAGTGCAGAATTACGCAAACGTGTCTGTCATCAGAAAATACACACAAGGAAACAAAAGAGTGAAAAATACTGTGTTGAAATTGTGTGCGCGTGCGTGCGTGTGTGTGTGTGTGTCTAACCAAATTTCAGGAGGTATTTGAAGCGGCGTGTTTCCCATAGTTCAGTATACGGGTTGGGCAGGCTTTGACAAGGTGGAAGCTTGTGTCATGAAATGATCTCGCCGCGCACACACAAGCGCCAATCTCAGCAGGAGACGGAAGAAATGTGAACCAAGGTAAGAAAACACATTACCGCTACCTCTTATGTCTATGTGGGTTTTTTTTTTTTTGTTTGTTTCCGAGGATTATTATTTTTTTTTTCCAGTAATTCGTTGAATGGATGAAACGAATGACCAATTTTCTCACGCAACCTGGGATATTATTGATACATAGCTTGGCTGAGTTAAAAGAAAGAAACCAAAAAAAGGATTAATTGACTCGACAGATCTCCATCCGGCCATCCATTAACCTTTGACATCCGCATTCTATAGATTAGCGCTCTTCACGTCATCACCTACGCACCCATTTTATTTCGCGGAGCTGGTGATAGCTTGGTGACCTTGCCGGGGTCACCGGTTGGCCTGCAGGGAGGGCAGCGGCAGCAATGTTCACGTCGCCAGCTGGCCCCCAACTCAGACGCTAGAAGCGCTTTGCCCAGCGACCAAAGTTTCTGCTGTTCCGATCTTGGCCGTTGCCCGCGTTTTGATCTTGCTGGTAACACCCATAAGACTGGCATGGAAACACAAAAGCATACCCGTCTTTATTGTATTTTTTGGCAGCATGTAGGGACAAGGCAGCATGGTAAAATGTCCACGCAGTGTGTCAAGCTAAATACTTGGCACGCACATTAATTGTTTTTGTTTTTACTGTGTATTTGAACAAGCATTTGTGTGAGTACGTGCTTCTCAGCATTCCCACGAGGAATTTTCCTTGATGAACTGATATGGCCAAGTTGTATAAGCGAGCCCTATTCGACGTACTGTTCTTTGTTCACTTGAAAACCTGACAATTGCGTTGGCCAAATGGCAAGTTACCACGCCACACTAATCCCTCCGACGTGTCGTATTCCAAAGTTTCGGAAGAAGGAAAAAAAGGGAGCCAAAGCGTACTCTGCTTTGTAATCCAATGCTGAATCACGACATGCCGCCTACATGAGATCGACTCCGGACTGGCGGGCGCACGCCATGAGAGGTTGTTGATCGTGATGGCACCACACTCAATTTCAAATTTGAGGTGAATCGCGGAAGGTGTTTGGGCCCCCGTCAAATTTGGGCATTCGCCTCCAAAATGGCCGCCTTCCTTTTGAGCACTTGTGTTTTTAATTTTTTTTTTTTTTTTAGCAGCCATAAGAAGTCAAAAGTATCCAAAGTATTCCACTTCAATGGGTATTCGAGTACTCAACTTTCACTTGTTTTGTTTCGTTTATGCTTTGTTAGCGCTCATTAGTGCGGATTGAACATTAATTCGAGGAGATAATTCATATCATGTTCCTCGAAAGTTCAAAATGTCTGAACAATGAATCACTATAATTAGTAGTTGCGAGTTTTACAAAGCGCTCATATGCCTTGCCAGGTGTTTCATTGCTCTTCTTTTTTTTTTTTTTTTTACAATCCAGAGACTAATTTTCAGATTTCAAACACTTGTACCGGTTAATTGCACTGCTCAAGTGCAAGCGATATTTTGTTTCACTTTTGTCTTCAGCCGCCTTGTTTAATTGGATGATTGCCGTCGGCATGCCAAATTTCACACCATGAGCTCAGATAACACTGATTGTGTTGGTGACAAAAAAAAAAAAAAAAAAAGTGAACAAAGCTGGCTGAAGGATGAAAAGAAAAAAACAAAGGAATTTATTGAATTCTTGTTGGTTTGGTTGTTTTTTCTCTTTTAGGAATGGCAATAAGTAAGAATGGCTTGATCGTTGTTCTCCTCATCGTCACACTCTGCATTTTGGAAACCGGAAACATCTTCAAGTTGTCAAGCCCGGTAGGCTCTTCGTGTCAAGGCCTTTTCGCATGTCCTACCACGCTATTGTATTTATTGTTGGTCGTGATGCTGGTACATGAAGAGCCAAAAATGTCTTTTAGGTGATACTTGGTGTTAAGGGTTTCTCCACTGACATGGACAATCCAATTAAAATGTCTTGTTTTTTTTCTCTCCACTTTTGAAGGAACAGGTCCGCTTTGGAGAACAACACATCATTAGGGAGAAAAGGCAAGGTGAGTGAGAATAATTCTACTGAATATTTATGGGATATACTCTATAGTGGTTCAACCAATCCATTCCCGGACAAAACTTCCCTGACTGCGTGTGATTTGTGGAAAGCACTAGTTGAGATCGTGTGTGTTTTCCTCCCCCCCACAGAGCCGCTCGGCCTGTATCAGTATGAAGTGTCCGTTGAGCTAAATGTGACAAGTGTTGAGACAGTGGATTACCTTCGTCGCCTGCTGCACAATAGCAGCTCTTCCCTGCCTCTGGGTCCCAGTGCAAATTTGACACACATTAACATCACCCAAGGTAGGCTCTTCGATGGCACCGTGCCATGTTTATCAATGTTTTTGTATCTTGGAAACAAAAAGCAGGGTCACGCCGTTTGTCTGCTGGCCGTGTCTACCAGACAAAAAAAAATCAAAAAAAAACTTTCTTTACAAACAGGCTCATGCAATCTCCTATGGGGGAAAATAAGGGCAGGTCCGGAGGAGGTAAGGTGCTGTGCGGCCATTTCAAGATTTGAAACCCAACCATAGGAAAGAACTCTAAAATGAGCCAGTGAAGGGATGCCAGAGTAGGAGTTCTCTGCTCCCTCTTACGAGTACCAGTCAAGAAGCGAGCAGCAGCATTTTGGAGCAACCGGAGACGCTTCATGGAGGATTCCTTTGCATGACGGTGCAAACCAAGCGAGATGTGACGAAGGCGTCAATGACTGTTTGAAAATGCTCTTGAGAAAGGAGAGCTTTGTCTCTAGCCAGCTGCCTGAGATGAACGACGCCGGATTTGACACCGCCACCAATTTCTCGGTCCAATTTTAAAATTGCTGTCCAGTTGAAGACCCAAGTGCGCCGAACAAGTGGCCACTGGGACCAAACGCCTCACTCTAGTCTTCTTTTCATTGGAATTCGATGCCACCCTTGGCACGAACAATGAATCTGCGGCCCTCCTTGAAATCTGTTCACTTTGTTCTTAGGAATGCCCAAGACAAATGTGTCAGATCAACAGATTAATGCTGTTCTTTTGTTGTCTGAATTCAAGTTTTTCTGGTCATTTCAATTGTACAAGGCGGCTGTTATGGCGGCTTGGGGGCCCCTGCTGGAAGGGATTTCACTTCAACAAGGAAGTGTGGACATTTGATATTCTTTCCACTTCGACACAGAAGGGTTGTCAATGATTGAGCTGTATTAGAGGAACGGCAGAGTTCCCAAGCGCTTCCGCAGATCCACATATCAAATACAGGACAGTATGTGGCATGTGCAAATAACCCTTTGTCGTCAATCGGTTCATCATCATCTCATCCTTTTATTTTCAGTTTGCTATCTCAATGGGAGCAACTTCCAGTGCCGATGCGAGGAAGACTTTTTTTGGCCAAGTGACACCTGCGTGACATACCAAGCCTGTGATGAGATTGTTAATGATGCCTGCACGTGTATCAACGATATCCCCCCCGAAGGGCACTACTGCGAACCAAAGACAGGTGAAACCTCATTCTATCTGGCTTGTTGGATAGAAATTCTGTTTTTCGAGGAATGTCGGCTTCACGTTGACTTATTTCATAAGAGGCAGTTGTTGGATATATGAACACTACACATTCAGAGACACATCTATCCGGAGTTGCACCAAACATCACTTTTTCTCTAAATTCTGGATTTCTTTTGCAGACCCACCGTTTGCCACAACAGTCAGCAGCACGGCGGCAACTCTTGAACCAACAACACCAACAAGTAAGAGCTCATCTCAATTCTACCCATTGTGACATTGGACATTGTAGAGTTGTTTTTATTTTTTCCTACAGACACACTGGACACGACGACTGGAGTGCCAACGACACCAATAGGTAAGAGTTTCTGAATTCTGTGATGAAAACAGACTATTTGTTCAAATGCGTCGCTACATAATGGATCTCTTTTGCAGACGCACCGTTTACCACAACAGTCACCACCACGGCGGCAACTCTTGAACCAACAACACCAACAAGTAAGAGCTCATCTCAATTCCACCCATTGTGAAATTGGACATTATAGAGTTCAACTCGTTCATTTTTATTGATTTTATTTTTTTTTTACAGACGCAGAATTGAGCTCTCCCACCACATTAGACACGACAACTGTAGTGCCAACGACAGCAACAGGTAAGAGTTTCTGAATTCTGTGACCAGAAGAGACTATTTGTTCAAATGCGTCTCTAAATGATGCATCTCTTTTGCAGACACATTGTTTCCCACAACAGTCACCAACACTGCGGCAACTCTTGAACCAACAATACCAACAAGTAAGAGCTCATCTCAATTCTTCCCATTGTGAAATTGGACATGTTAAAGTTCAACTTGTTCCCTTTTTTTTTTTTGTTACAGACACAGCACCAAGTTATACAAGCACCTTCAAAACCGCAACAAGTGGAGTACCCACAACGGTGACGAGTAAGCGCATGACCTCCCACGCACGACACATTGCACCGCCTTCAGAAGGAGTCTCAAAAGAAAATTTGATCTGTCGTTCAATTGGAATTCAAATGCTTATTATTCTGACATCTCTTACAGGCACAACGCCGGTTTCGACAACGGTTTCGAGCACTCCCACTGCGGTCTCGACGACGTCAGCAGCAAGTGTGTCAAAAATCTCATTGTTAAAACCAGATCATGTTTGTTTCTATCATTGTACAGACAAGATTGGTTGACACCACATATGAGGATGAATCGGTCTTGTATTGTGCTCTGTTCCCATTCAATCTATCCCCGGCAGCACCTCCATTTGTTTTTGAATACGTCCTCACCATTGAGCTGAGCACCACGAACGAAAGCGTGATAAATCGACTGAGGAGCATTCTGAGAAACGTGACTTATCCCATCGCCGTAGACGTCGGCGGCTACCCCACAATCTCTGAAATCAACATGACTACAGGTAAATTTTTCAAAAAATGTCAATTGCATCATTTGAAAAGAAATGATTGGGACAGAGGACATGAAGGCTTTTGGTGTTCTTATTTCTAGTTTGCAGTCCAAGCAGTGACGGTGTTCAGTGCAGATGCGAGGATCGGTATCGTTGGTCATGTGACCAGTGTTTCCTGCATGGATCATGTGACAACATCACAGACGACGCGTGTGGATGCATCGAGGGGATTCCTCTGGGTGGACTCTATTGCCAATCTATCGATCAAAACAGTAAGCAAGAAAGAATTGTTTCATCGATGCCAAAATGTATTTTGGTTATGAGGACGTATCAACGACACTTCTCTTTTTGTTTCTTTGAAGTCACTTCTGTCTGTCCCACCACAAGCGTCTTTCCGACAACATCATGTAAGTGAGATTTGTTTTTTCAAACCAGATCAATGTTCACCAAAACTTTCTGTACACACACACACAAAAAAAAAAAAATCCTCCGGCATGAGACAGGGCTATGTTTGGGGGTTTTGATTTAGATTTTATTGACTTACTGCTTATACATAACCCCCCCAAACAGGTTTCTTCGCTCAAATTATGATAATAATGTTTCATATTTTTTGCAGATACAACATTGGAGTCGACAACTGTAACACCATCAACTCCTGGAACGGATGCTACCACAACTCAAGCGCCGACGACTGTTACAAATACGACAACTCAAGCGCCGACAACTGTAACAAATACCACAACTACTCAACTGCCGACAACTGTAACAAATACGACAACAAATACGACAACTCATGCGCCGACAACTGTCACAAATACGACAAATACTCAACTGCCGACAACTGTCACAAATACGACAACTACTCAACTGCCGACAACTGTAACAAATACGACAACAAATACGACAACTCAAGCGCCGACAACTGTAACAAATACGACAACTCATGCGCCGACAACTGTCACAAATACGACAACTACTCAAGCGCCGACAACTGTAACAAATACGACAACTCAAGCGCCGACAACGTCTGCAACAAAGTCCACGACAACTCAAGCGCCAACCGCTGTCACAAATACGACATCATCTCAAGCACCAACAAGTAAGAATCCACTTTTCATGACGTTGTGAAGCGGTGTTAATCACAGACAAAGGAATGTTATGGAAAGAGGGACAGTCAAATGTCATCGTCGTTGCTTGGCGACACTTGGCGACACTTGGGGCGAACGGTGCTGCCATGGTTGCCGGAAAGATTGTGTGAATGCGTCATGACCAAAGAGCTTGGTTTCTCTTTTTATATTGACTTGTTTTTGCGACAGATGAAGCTGTGCTCATCTTGATGTCCACTCACCGACTTTTTTTGTGCTTTCCGTTTTCTCTCTCAAAAGTATTCCAATTAGAGATGTCCATCCGATTCGACAAAGAGTACACTCCGGAACTCAGCGATAAAACCAGCTCTGTTTACAAGGATTTTGAGTCTCAGATCAGGCCTGTGGTAGGTCCCGGGTGAATCCCTTTTTTTTTTTTTTTAAAACATATATTTCGACTTGTTCAACCTATTGGTGACTTTGACTTCCAGTTATTCGACCAATACAGAAGGCTAACAGGATTCGTCAGCGCTTCAGTGACGGCTTTCAGGTAAACATGGCGCAAATGGTCAGAACTTGGTTGAAAGTCCCCGTTGGTTTGCTTCAGTTTTTTCTTCCAGGCCGGGAAGCGTGATTACAGACTTTAGCGTTGAAACATCGCGAGTCGACGCTCAGGAACTTGCCGCGGCGAATCAGGGATTCTCTGTCGCAGTGCAGCCGATTGCTAGCGTCATCGGTTCTGTTACCGCACTTTACAATAGTAAGTTTCACCGTCCTGTGGGGAACTTGACCCGACCGCTAACCGCTCCTTTGACCTTTTCCTCAGGTCCGACTGAAATCACATTTCCGCCCGTGACTTATACTGGAAGGTCAATGACCTTGACGTGTGGCCCCGCTCCTGAGAGCATTCAGTTAGGACCTGTCCCTCAAGCTCGATGGAAATTAAATGGAAAGAAAATCAAATCGGGTGGACGCATCCGAGTCACTTCATCCGCTCGCGCGTCCGAGCTTACGGTTACGAACGTGATTCTGGCAGATGCTGGTAAAGTCGACACTCGCACTTTTATGCAAAGACGGAAATACAGTCATGCCCGATTCTTCTGCACCTTGTTTGTCTTTTTGCCAGGGCTTTATGAATGTCATCTAATAGGCGACGCCATGACTTTTGTGCAAGTGGGACACGCGACGAAAATCAGACAAGCGCCGAACGTGCGAGTGCCGAGCAAAGTCAATGTGAAGTGTTCAGACGGGGGGACGCAGCCACTTCGATGTTGCGTGCAGTCCAACTATATCGTCAGGTGGTTTCTGGACGCCGGCGTTTTAAACTCCGGTAAGCCCGCCATGAAAAGTTCACCGCCCCGCCCTGCCGTTTTTTCCGAGCAATGTTTTAACATTTTCGCAGAGGAAAAGACCGATGAGGAAAGCTACTGCATTTTGCACCGATACAGTCTGAGTGGCTGCAGAGATTCGCCAACCCGAGAATTACGTTTTACATGCAGAGTAGACGATCCACAAGGCTTTGAAGAGACAACAACAATGATCCTTTTTAATGAGAGTAAGCGCACCCTTTTAAACGTGCCTTTTCCTTTTTTTGATTGATTAGTCCCATGATTACATCGACATTTTTTTTTCCTTGCAAAAGATGTTGCATGTAATGATCCGCTGTACGGGAGCGGACGACCAAATGACGTCTCGACCGCGGCGTGTGATCCGGGTCAAGAGGGGAGCAGGACTGCCATATGCAGGGAGACGGGAGAATGGATCCTTTTGGAAGACACTTGCATTGTGACCGCAATCAAGGACTTGGTCGTCGTTTCTGAGGTAAGTGATCACATTTCACATATTTCCCCTTTTTGGCTCGGTGAAAATGATCGATCGGCGATGCCCGTTTAGGATACTCACAGTTAGGAAAAGCCTTCCTGACGTGCAAGCCTTTTACGCGCGGTAACGGGTCGATCGCGGGAGGCCCGTCGCTTGAAAGGTCGATCTTCAGTCAAAAAAGCGGGCAGGGTTTCGTTTTTCAGCACTCCGGCGAATGACTTGTTGATTGATCAATGCAGAAATGTACTTCATTCCAAAAATGTTTCTGACCTTACATTCCTAGGATTTGCTCGAAGAGGAAGCTCCGCAATTAGCTGCGAATCTTAGCGAAGTGGTCCAGGGGCAAAAACAAGAAATTGCAAATTCATCCGCGACCGTCTCAGCGATCGTTGGCATCCTGAGCGTCATTGCCAACGTTTCGACCCAAGTGAACGAAACCGTCATGGAGGTACGATGGCCGTTCGCTAGCAGTGCCGATGCAGCGCGACCGCCGAATCCCACCAGGAAAGACGTCTTTCTTTGCAGAACGTGCTGGCGACGGTCGATGTCCTCATCGGTGACGACGCCAGAGAATCTTGGCAAGTTCTGAGAGAAAACGTCACTCGCAATGACAGCTCCATATTGCTTAGCTCGATGGAGACTCTGGCCGATGAGCTCGTCGGGGAGTTCACCATCAGAACCGGGTTCATTCAGCTCAACAGGACCAGGTTCAACGACTCCTTTGCGGCGGATTTCAACTCAAGCGTCGGCATTGATATTCCAAACATCGACAGTAACAATGTCAATATCACCGTCATCGTTTTCTCCACCCTGGACAATGTGCTGCCGCCTCGCAACGCCAGCTATGACAGCACGTCCGCAAACACCAACGACACGTCCGCTTCATTTAATGACAGTCTGAACGCGGCGGTGGCGCTTGTCAAAGTCAAAACGGACATTCGGAATGTTACTCTGAGTTTCAAGAAGCAGAACGACTCGCTGACTCAGAATCCGCAGTGCGTCTTTTGGAACTTCAGCCTTTTGGACGGGTTGGGCGCTTGGGACGACCAGGGTTGCGTGTTCGTTTCCGACACAAACGACATGGTGACCTGCAGCTGCAACCACCTCACCTCCTTCTCGATTCTGATGGCAACGGGTATCCCCGAGTCGATACGAGTGGCTTTAGATCTCATCACGTATATCGGAGTCGGCATATCGATGGCGAGCCTGGTCATTTGTCTCCTCATCGAAGCGTACGTGTGGAAAGCCTTGACGAGGAACAGCACGGCGTTCATGCGCCACGTGTGCATCGTCAACACCGCCCTGTCTCTGCTGATCGCCGACATCTGTTTCATCATCGCAGCCTCTTACGCCAAGAACCCCCTCGAAAACCCGGGAGATGACCATCGGGTCCCACTGGCGCCGTGTACCGCCGCGACTTTTTTCATGCACTTGTTCTACCTGGCCCTCTTCTTCTGGATGCTGGCGTCGGGGCTTCTTCTGTTCTACCGAACCGTCATGGTTTTCTCGCAGATGTCCAAGGCGGCCATGATGGCCATTGGCTTTGTTTTTGGCTACGTGTGCCCCCTCATCATCGCGGTCGTCACTGTCGCCGCCACGGCCCCGGGCAAAGGATACATCAGGGAAAACGACGCATGCTGGCTGAACTGGAGCAAGACCAAAGCCCTGCTGGCCTTGGTGATACCGGCCTTGGTTGTCGTTTTTATCAACATTTTCATTGTCATCGTGGTCATGTTCAAAATGCTAAGAAGAGGCGTCGGGGAGGCGGCTCCTCCTGACGAAAAGCACACGCTGGTTGTCATTGCCAGATGCGTGATCATTTTGACTCCTTTGTTTGGACTCACGTGGGCTTTGGGAGTGGGGACCATGGTTTCGTCCACCAATGAGGGGATCCACATTGCGTTTGCCTTCTTCAATTCACTGCAGGTAAATTTGCTTTGCGCCATCACCAAATGGTAGGGGTGTCAAACTCGCACATGGCATGACATCACACATGACAAATGGACATTTTCGCAAGGATCATGCAAGTTGACGCTCATTGATTTTCTTTCGGAGGCCCACAAAAAGGCCACGGGCCTGGAGTTTGACACCGGTGCCATATGGTTTTTCGACACTTAGTATGGTGTAACTTTGGTCTTGTTTTTAATTTCTCTCTCTTTTTCTTTTTTTTTAGGGTTTCTTTATTTTAGTTTTTGGGACACTGCTGGATTCAAAGGTAATTTCTTGTGAAAAAAAGTTGATAGGAATTGAATGTGGGCGGCACAGTGGGGGACTGGTTAGCACGTCGGCCTCACAGCGCAGAGTGGCGGGGTTCGATTCTGGCTCGGGCCTTTCTGTCTGGAGTTTGTATGTTCGCCGCGTGCCTGCGTGGGTTTTCTCTGGGTATTTGGTTTCCTCCCACATTCCCAAACAATGCATGCCAGGCTAATGGAAGACTCTAAATTGTCCCTCGGTGTGAATGATTGTTTTTCAATGTGTGCCCTGCGATCGGCTGGCGAGCAGTCCGGGGTGTACCCGGGTGCCCAAAGCCAGCTAGGATGGGCTCCGGCACACCCGTGACCCTCCTGAGAATAAACGGATGGATGGATAGACTCATTTCATTCAGCACACTCATCTGTTGCTGCAAAGCCACTCTGCTTCCTCCTGAGGCCAAAACGCGCGATTAGTGACTAGTCAACATTATTACTACATTGTTTCCAAAGCACAGCCATCAAGTGAAGTTATTGATTTGCAATTTGATTCAAATGATAGATCCGAGCCGTTCTCTCCAAAAAACTACCTGTATCAAGCTCAGGCTCCGGCTCCAATCAAACTGCAGTAAGTGATTTGTCAATCATTTATGCATGACATAAAATGTATCCTTACAAACTTGTCATGTTGTCTCTTTTGGCTAGTTTGATGTGTGATCATGTTCTTGACTTTATCTCTGTCAGAGTACAAGTGCTGGAGTTTCTTCTTCAAGTGGTCTCAAATGGTTGCGAAAACTACGTGGGAAAAGATGTGAGTTATTGATCCCCTCCATCCCGCCAGACTCGCATATTCAAATTGATTTTCTAATCAAGACTTTGTTGTCTGTCCTCCAGATGTCTACCATGTGTGGGAGGCTACAAATTCAAGCAGCGCCAGTGGCTCTGAGCCATCCTCCAATATCTGAATCAGATGAATAATCACTCATAAAATGGGCTTTACTTCAGATTTAAGAAATCTGTCGCTCTGTACGATTTAGTACAATGTTATATTTTAACTGCACCGAGTCATCAACAATCGTCGTTTCAAAACACTGCAGTGGCATAAATACCCAGCATGCATTCTTGGACTGATTTGTGCCAGCACTGTGTGGAATGCACGATTTTGAAGTTACGTGCAGTTACGGGTATGTTAAGTCACCTTAAGCTTGACCACTAATGACAATGCATTTGGTGATGCTGATGCTCACCTGCACACTCTAAACATCCTTCTCTGTTGTAAAAAATAAAAATTATTATAAAGGTCATGTGAAAGAGAATACCAGGAAATCTGGCTTTGCTGCGAAAATGCATCTGAATGAGGCATTTTGCCTCATCCAATATGGCAGCGCCGATGACGTACCTACGGACACTCAACGTGTTATCTATTGGAAAAACACATCTATGGTGCAATCAAAGAGTCCGCAGCTGCCAGGCCAGCCCACCCCATCGTGGTGTGATGCCTGGAGACTGGAACGCTGTACCTCAGTGGTTCCATCCGGCAACAACTTTCCTGGAGGACGGGGTCCCGTTTGCCCATCACTCTCAGGAGCCCGGCGTGATTTGCCTTCATGAATGTGAGTACACCCCTTGGCTGTTAAAGCACACATGACCGACCGTTCAGCCAGCTGTTTGGTCAGCGCTGTCCGCTTCACTAAGCTAATGCTGCTCAAAAGCTAGCATAATGAGCGAAAGCTTTCGTGATTGCTTCGGACCATTTAATGAAGAATGAAGTGGCTCGCACGGTGGTCCAGATTAGCCCGAAGAACCAGCGTTTTAAACGCAGCATTAGAACCAGCTGTGATTTACAATCAAGCCCGTAACTTGAAATCTAGACGTCATCCGTGGCCACCGTCATGAAACAGTCGCCAAATGTGTATATTAGCCTCTATATGTTCACAACTGTGTCGTCCTAAAAATGTGACATGAGTAGAAGAACTTCTACTCATTTTGGCACACATTTATTCGACCCTGTCCCAGAGTGTTGTTTACAGCGGTGCCGAATGACACTGATTAATTACTGTTTTAAATAACTTCTGACCACTCACGTGAGAGTGGGAAGATATCAAAATTGGGAGGCAAATGTTGTTCATTTTGAACAGACACAATTAATTGCGAGTTTAATATTAAAATCCTCGTCAATCGACCGATAATTCGATTGACGACTGAAATCCGTGACATGTTACGTTGTTCGATTGTTTTCTCACAAGCATTAGCGTGCTAATCCTCTTCTTCGAGCTTCTCAACATCATATGAACGTGACCAGCGCCTTCTGAACCTCTGATAATCTTTTAAGAAACACAATTGCAAAATGCAAAGCTCAGTGTGAACGGGTCTTTTTCGCTCCATCTTTTGGAAGCGACCAGATTGTCCATGAGGTTGCGGTCAAGAAGAAAAGACTGGGACGGAAAGTTCATCCAGTGTGCTCGCTGTAAGTATTTCCAAAATAATTGTTATCCCCTCTACGGTGTCACACATGCACAGCTCGTATAGCCACATCCCGCATCTCACTATGTTCGTATTTTTGATGTGAACGCATTTAACCAGATGCCGACAATATTGGACAAAATAGCCACTTGGGGGCGGTGTTGTGCCACAACAGCGGTACTGTTTATTTATATCACCATCAAACCAGTTTGAAAACTTGAATGAGTAATACTCGCTGATCATTTCATGCAACTGCAATGGTCAAGTATTATTGTGGGTACCTCCAGTTCAGTGACGCTACAAACTTTTTTTTTTTTTTTGTCCACCATAATTATCGTGCCCTGTCCGGTAATCAACATTGAGCAAAAAGTGGTTGTATTTGTTTTCTTTGTGAATCTCGCACTACTTTGGCCTTGTCCTGCTCATTATGGCGCAATGGCTGAACTGATCCTCCCAGCTGCTGTCTAGAATTCAAACTGCATTGTGCTTTGATGTTGACCTAAAAAAAACAAAAAACAACTGAGGCAATGGGCCGCGTGGCACCAGCGTGCCTAATTTCCGTTGAGACTTGAAAGTTGGACGCCGTATGACTGTTTCGGTGTGGACAGGTTGGCTGGTTGTCGGTGATGTTGTTTTAGATGTGTCTGAGATAAACATTTTACTTTCACCAGTGATGAAACTTATCCAGAACTCAAGATTTCAACATTTTCGTCTTGCGTAATCGCCTTGGCGATCCTCTTAGGCAGGGGGTTGCCCAACCTTTTTTGACCGAAGATCAACTTTTCAAGAAGCTAACATTACTTGAAAACAATTTAAAGTTTTAGCCACACATGCCTCAGACAGGGTACATTTGTTTTGGTTCCGGAGTGCAGAACGGTCGAGTGTGGTGGCAAATGAGCCAAATGCAATTTGACAAGCTACAGAACGTCAGGGTCAGTCCGCAGCCAGAAACATGTGTCCCTGGGAGGAAAGGCCCTTATTGCACCCTCAGCCAGTCAACATTCCAGTGTTTGTACAACACATCCTAATGAGGCTGCTCTCTGTGGGGGGGGGGGGGAGCGGGCCATGTCTTTGGGGATTTATCTGAAGAGCTAAACAAGCAAAGAAAGATCTTGTGAATCAACCTGCTCACTTCCACTCTCCTTTGCTCTCACAAACGGAAATCACAACTGATGAAGGTGAGGCAAGTCAAGCCGCCGGAAGGGCTCACGTGTACTCGACCAAAGGTGAGAACACACTGCGTTGTTCTAAAAGTAGACTTTGGTAGAGGAGTAGAAGGACTGATTTGAATGTTCATATTCAGTTCATGACAAATACTAATCATGAATTGATCTGCGCTGTAAGGGCTAATAATTGTCCAAAATTGTTCATGTTTTTACATTGACAAATGTTCACATCGTATTCTACGTTGGCCATTTAATTGGAAATGGTTACGACGAACTGCCGTAATAGCGTCCAGATTCCTTATGCCCCTCAAGGTACGTTGTAACGAGTTTCAACTGTATTCGGTTCAAAGGCAAGCGCATAGTTTGGAATGATATCCATCCCTGACCCAAAAAAAAAAACAAAAAACCCACCAATAAAACCTAAATGTCAAAGCCAACTATGCGAGAACAAACTCCACGCAAAGCAATCGTCAGAAGAGACAGCAAGGATGTGAAAGGTCAGCTTTCAAAGACATTCCGATGATTCTGCTCCGTCTTGGGAGTCGGTCCGCCCGACGCGCATTCGTTTGTTTTCTTCCACTGTGCCTCTTCCATTTTGTCAGGAAAAGCTCCCTCCTTCTTTGGGAAATTTCAAAGTCAGATTGCCTTATTTTATAACTCGACACTCTGACAAGTCTCTTGGGTGGCGGCACCAGTTCCTTTGTGCTCTCCGCCGATCTATCAAATCATCAAACGCCGCCGGCTGCGGCGCCCGCGATGACACGGAAAGGCGCGATCCGAATGTGTCGCGCGTTACGTTGATCTATTCGCTGGGAAATGCGCCACTCAGAAGTCGACTTTGTTGCCACCTCGTCTGTCTGAAGGAAATGAGTGTGCTATCCGCGGACATTTCTCAAATTCCTCTCCTTGTGTCATTACTGCTCAAGCAAATAACGGGCTTAAGGGACAGAATTCCACCACTGAATCAACAGATTGTTTGTGTCTCCAGAAGCTCAATGCGAATTGTGGAAAGCGAGGAATTTGGCAAGTATCGTTAAACGAACGACTGAAGTTTGGGAGGAGAGCCACAGAATTGTATCCTGGGCTCTCCGCAATGGTTTTGAAGGTTAAAAGCGTTTGCACTTGTTTTAACAATGAAGAGCAACATATGGCAGAATTAAAAAAATAAATAAATAAATAAAAAATAATCTGATACATTTACCCCAATAACCATCTGAAAACGAGGGATGTCGATTTATCAAAAATTGTATTACTAAATCCTTTTTTTTTTTTAAGTCTGTTATCTAGATCTCTGGTAGCTCCAAAATTGCACTGCCAAATGGACATTTTTTTTTTTTTTTTTTTGCACTTTTAGCAGCTCTAGTCCTGGTTAATACATCAACTTCTACATCTGCCTGAGCATTTATTTTATGCCCGTTTTTGCACTCGCTGACGTCAGGAAATCAGGATATCATGTGGGGACACCACAGAGGAAACTTTCAAAAAGACAAAAAACCCTCCACATTGTTGCATGTTTGAACTTGGCAAAACAGCACCTGCATGTTCCACAGCACGACTGACCAAAAGAATATAGTTTAAAAATAAACCGGTGGATGAAAACACACATACGATTGAAAGAAAAGCGCTTTTCCGTGTCCCGTTCAGACAAGCCCCGAGGAAAAGTTGAGGATGTTTGCTTTTCCCCTCGTTACAGCTGCGGGTCACTGAGCAAGTATCGGCGTTTACCCCCCTCGCTGCCCTCACAGAACCATTTCTATGGGTTTGAATTCTCGAAGAATCCATATTTTACCAATTGTGCGCCTGCAGTTGATTATAAAAGAAAAGGCAGAAGACATTTTTTTTTCTAACACAGCTCGTTATTGAGGCGTCTGTCGAAAGACGGAATCAATGGGCATCAGTGCGCGGTCAGGAAATCGTCATGTGTACCTAATAGACTTGAAGGATTGACTAACATCAGAGCAAACCAGTTCACTGAAACATAGTGTGCAGTAAGATGATGTATTTTCTGCATTGTCAATTTGAAACCAAATCCTATTTTTCTGCAATAAAGGAATGGAAATTTGGGATCAGCCGATCTCATTCACGGATGATTGGTTGTCTGTTTTCTCCCGTCCGGGTTTGCTGTCACTCTGCTCATCTGGTCCCCCGGTTAATAGAAGTGAGGCACCGCTCCATGTCTTGATTTCTTGTTATTTAGAAGGACCCAGACAAAGTTTCCGATCGATAGATCTTCATAGCGAGGCTGGTCGACAAAGAAGACAAACGTGGATTTCCATCTGTATGTCCTTAAGCTTGTTGACTCAAACGGCGTGATCCAGTCCGGATTATCCGGCAGCGAGTGATCCCCGCCAGCTCTCTGTTCAGCAGCTGTGTTGACTGTCTCATGCGCGGGAAGCCTCCATCACGACGAGGCTTGACCGCCACTGCGGCGAGCTGCCATATCGTCACGCAACACACGACCTTTTTCACTTGGAACACGTGGACCCGGAAATGACTGTCGGAGCGTCTTCGCAGGCCTCGAGGGTCTCAACCAGGCTTTATTCGACTAATGAATGGTTTGGGGGATGTTTATGCAACTCTTTTCTGTCTGGAATTGCCGCCGGCAATGTTGACAATCTCCCGTATTTGCTTCATGAAACATTTCAGCCGCCATGGCTCGATGACAATGTCGTCGGCTTTTAAGTTGATCTGTTGTTGACGTTCTGTTTCTTGCAGTGACGCTTTGGGAGCAGGAAGCATTTTCTTCTTCAGTGCACTACTTGATGTTATCTGTCTTGTGTCACGAAGCTCAGGACACTGAAAGGCCAAATTGTGCTCCCCCCGAGCGCTCTTCTTCACTTGTTGGTTCTCCTCGAAGTTCAGCTTCAGTCATAATCAGAAGACTTGCCCTTTTTTTTTTCATTTTAGTCTGCATTGTCTAGTTTGGGGAGTCCTTTTGAGCTATTGTCTTCTGATTTCCGCTGGTGGTCTGTCAAGCAAACAACACTCAAAAGGGAACAGTCTCTTTTCTCCTTTCGCAAGGCTTGCCCCCCCCCCCCCTCTTTTTGATGTTTTCTGGAGGACAGTGCGGTATGTTCTTGTATTGGGCCAGGAGCGTATTGGACTTTTAAATGCCAGTGGGGAAGGAAAGACCCCGCTGGCTTGTCAGCGTCTCTGACCCCCTTTTGGCACAATAGCCCCCTTTCCCCTCCCACTCATTTCCCTGCCAAGCTGGGAAGAGTAAATATTTATCGGTCCCCACAACAATGACCATCTCGGAGGGTTTGAAAGAGACTTTGACCAGAGCACTTGCAAAGCTGCCGTCGGGTCGGGGCCGAAAGATGGGCTCTTCTCAGTTTGAAACGGAGCATCTCCATCGTGTCCCCCTAAAACTTTGCATTTTTGGGTCCTGGGATGATGATGACGAGTTAGCGGCATCGAGAAACATTTGCGCCAGGAATTCATCAAGGCAAAAATGATCCCAAGAGTAAGCGTTCACTTTCTTGGCAATGACTTAACACGGCGGCCATCTGCCCACTGCGGAAATGACACAGCACAGGTGCCCTTGAAATGTCCAACAAATCTTTGATTTAAAAACCACAAAGTCATGTGATTAAAAAAAAAAAAAAGTTGAAAGCAGCCGCACACAATGCTGCGTTGTATAGCAGCTCTTCTTGCACCTCAGCTCCGCTCGACTGCCAGCTTTTCAATTCCAAATTGGAACAGCACCAACCTCAAAACTGCAGATCTTGCTGTGCAGCGCCGCTCCTTCCCGTTATTATTCCTTTCAGGGGAGGTTCGAAGACCCAAATCATGATGTCATTCCGTAAGGCTGTCACGACTAATTTCCCTCTTATTTTTACGGACTCCTACGATTAATGCCAGACCATTAACTGAGCCCCCCCCCCCCCCCATCTTCTTTGACAGCACTTTTACACTGTAGGTAAATATGGAAGTACATACATACGACAACTAACAAAGTCAGCTTTAGCCAGAGCGAATTCAACCACATTTGGGGAAGAACAATGTTGAATTTACGACACGCATTGAAATGACGTCACCAATTTTACTCGGGCAAAAATGTCAGCAGATGTCAGAGTTTGGGTGCGGAGGAGCTCCGAGAGCTAAAGTGGGGCCAGGACAATTCAGGATTTGAAACAAATAATAACATTTGAAAAAGAATTTGAACTACAGCGGGAGTTGTAAAATTCCTTCAAGTCCAAGATCTTCTTGATGACTTGCGAAACACTGCGTGAACTTTCCCCAGCTACGTCATTGTCATTCCTCATTTCTTTACATGACCTCCTCAAATGTTGGTCTTCTATCCCCCCCAAACGGTAAATCAAAGAGTGAGCGCGCATTTACATTCCGAGCAGCAGCCTCGTCGGACTCTTTTTCCATAATCCGTGACTGCGTATCGTCAAGCCTTTTCTGTTGACCTCTTTTCTTGGCCAATTGTTTGATTCGAATTCATTAGGTGCCATGTTCACAATCTTGTCTCCTTTGGCTAATTTAACCTGTCGCCGTTTTGCATACGTCTGGGCAGCGCTTGGTCACTCTTGTGTTTTGAAAAAGTGCTACAGAAAGAAAAGTCTTAACTTTCTTACATTGTGTTGCACTCTCGTGCCGAGTCTTCCACTTTGCTTTTGCACGTAATCATTTTAAAGGCGGGAAATTTTAGCATGACAAGAGAGTGGATTCAGATTGTACGAACGCTTGGCGCATACGTCCATTTATGTGGAGCCAACTGCGCAACCCGCCCAAAACCTTGGAGGGCCCCTCAACGGCGCAAGATGACACTCGATGAAGTCAGATTTGTTTCAGACACTGGCGACGCGCCAAAGGCTGTGCTCTCACAACGTCGTATCGTGCTCAGTATTCTGCTTCGGACATCAAAACGGAGGTATCCTCAGCATAGCTCGACAGAATAGACGACGTGCCCGCTTGCATCTGCAGTTTTCGCAGCCCTTGATGTCAAACAGTCCCGAGCGAAAAGTGAGGGGACGAGCGCGCCATCAACATCCTGCGAAGTCAAAGCAAAAAAGATCACCTGTCCATGATGAAGTCAATCATGGGCAGAT